GTACAAATGCGCTTTACACAATTGATGTGTGTATGGATTGGGATAACAGTTGTATGAGCCCCTAATAAAATGTTAAAAAAATAAATAAATAAAAAATGAAGAGTTGAAAAATAAAAAAAATTAAAAAAAAACCAAGTCCAATCAAAACCATGTCTTTGGACTAGGCATGCTGGACCATTTAAATAGAGGTCTGTTTATACAGCTGTGTAAACCATTCGGGGGCATCCCAAAGGGATAATCTTGATAGATTTTTCAAAGGACAAAGTACAATCCTGAAGCTTATTATGAATAAATATTTTGGAAAATGAGCTTTGGTCAAAAAAGGCCCAGAAAGAATTGCACCAATGAATTTTTTTGCATCATGATAATGTGCCTGCTTATTCTTTGGGGATATTAAGGGCTAACCTATGAAATGTTGTTAGAAAAACGTATACCTTCCACATTAGAGCCTTGTTCTCTGTCAAACTTCTTTTTGGATAAGAATACTCAAAACAAAAAATTTAAAGGGAATATGATTTGAGTCACCTGAGGATATCAAAACTGAGATTTTCATGTGGTATACATTGAAGAGTACAGAATACTTGAATAAAAAGTTTACAGAATGTAAATGCCACCTTCAAGTTTAAAGGCATGTGTTGCTATTATTGATGCTATTGGGTGTTATTGCATCGGTTCCTACTTATCTCTTACTAAGAACAGCAGAATAAAGCACTGTCCAGTCATGTTGCATCTTCACAATGAGTATGCTTTAGCCCACTATATGACAGCCCATCTTGGTGATAGTATTCTTCCTTTTCATTGACCCTCTACATTGTTAAGCATGAATTCCATTTTCAGACCGATCTCTCCTGATAACACATCCAAAATCTCTAAGATGAAGATTCACCATTCTAGCCTCTCAGGAGTACTCTGGCTGTCCTTTCTCTAAGACAGAGGGGTCCGTTTCTCTAGAATTCCATGATACATTCAAGAACACCATAAAGCTTGTTTTGATTATTGGTCAATAACCAGCTCTCCAAAGAGAAAAATCTTATAGGAAACCCAATACCATTTGACATACCCTTGATATGACAAGGATTTTGACAAGAGAAATTATTGCTAATGTTCTTCTGTAGCCTTATGCAGATATATTGCTCTCCATACAGAAATGAACTTATCAGGCAGATAATCTAGTAATCAGTGTAAAGCACCCGTGCACTGGGACCATCTCTAGTACTAATGGGGCATTTTGCTTCCTTGATATATTTAGGTCCACAATTCCAAATTGAGAGTCTCATTTCAACAGCTATCTTCTCTCTAAATGGAATATTATAATATGTGGGGGTTCTTTTCTCTTTATATGTCAGTTGTTGTTTTATTTTTGTATCACATATATCTTCAAACATATGCTTATTATTATTGTAATTAGCCATGCTGGTTATAAATATGCTAATTATTATAATGTAACTCTCACAACTTTATAAAATTGTAACCAGTTCACCAATCAAAGGGTTTGGTCAGTGTTCATTGATTTAATTCACATCAATAATAATGTAGCTGGAACAAAATTTTATGGATGAATAATTATTAACATGATGAAGAATAAAAGATATTAAAACACATAGCAAGAGATTCTACATGGATACTATCAATAGTTATTAGCATTAGAATTGTAGTTATTTGAATAGGAGATATTGCCTTCTCTTCCTGTATCTAATAGATAAGTGAAAACATGCTTTTTACCATTCTTTCTTTTTCTTATCTTAAGGGTGATTTAAAAGCATCAAATGTGACTTAAATAGCTAGTATTTTTGTTTATATCAGACCTTAAGGTAATCTTATCTTACTGACACTTGAACCAGGAAAGACCACAGAAATTACTGCCAAGACTAACTTGCCAACAAAATAAGCCAGTCAAAATCAGAGACAATTTATTAAACTTGGAGAAATGAAGGTCAAACCAGAAAAATTTAAGAAAGAGTGAGGTGACAGTACATACATATCTGGTTCAAAAAGTGCAAAAGAGCAGGTGTATCAATACAGAGAGCACAAGGGGGGAATGGGATTGTGATCCCACACATATTCCTGTACTTTATATTCTGTTGCTTTCTGTGACATAGGCTCAGAACAAAATGAAAGTCTGTTTTCACATTATCTCTTTTTTCACCCATATACTCTGCCATACTTCTGGCAGAGGATTCTACTGTGCCCAGCAGGATGGAAAAGTTTCCCTTCTCTGCGAATCCATTTTCGTTTGAACTGTTGGAGAATAATCAAGTAGGGTCTTCTGTTCTTTCCTCATAGCTGGTTGCACCATTGTTTTCTCATGGCGCTTTTCACGTCTGCATTCCTCAGAGTGTAAATAAGAGGGTTGAGCAAGGGTGTGCCAATGGTGTAAAACACAGCCACCGTCTTGTCCACAGGAAATGTGATTGGAGGGCGAGTGTATGTGAAGATACATGGAACAAAGAATAAGATGACGACGATGATGTGGGAGGTGCAGGTGGAGAGCGCTTTCTTCCTTCCTTCTGCGCTCTTGTTCCTCAGAGAGTGTAAGATGAACATGTAGGAGATCATCAGGATTATGAAACTAACCATGCATATTGCCCCACTATTAAACACTGTGAGTAGATTTATAGCATAAGTGTCTGTGCAGGCAAGTTTCAACAGAGGTTGCAATTCACAGAAATAGTGGTCAATAACATTGGGGCCACAGAAGGGTAATTGCAAAACTAAGATCATCTGTACTAAAGAGTGGATAAAAGATCCCACCCAGGCCACATTCATCATCGTACCACAGACTCGATGGTTCATGATGGTTGTGTATCTCAGGGGCTTACAAATGGCCACATAGCGATCAAAGGACATGAGGATGAGCACTAAGATCTCCAGGCACCCAAAAAAATGGCCTGTAAAAAGTTGAGTCACGCATGCATTGAAGGAGATGACTTTCTTCTTAGAAAGTGCGTCTACAATCAATCTGGGACCTATGGTTGTTGCAAGGCAGGCATCAGCAAAGGATAAGTGGGAAAGGAAGAAATACATAGGACCACCTAGCATCCGACTGTATCTGATGGTCAGCACAATAAATGAGTTAGCCAGCAGAGTTGCAAGATAGAGAAACAAGAAGACAACCAATAACATTTTCTCTTTCAGGGCATCCTGTGCTAATCCAAGTAGAATGAACTCAGTAACGCTGTGGTTCAGCTCCATGGTCATAGTTGAGGTAAGTAGGATGCAGCTGATAAATGGTTTATATGCAAAGAAACGTGTGATAGTGATGACTTGGCAATAACTGCTGACTTGGACCAGCAAACAATTTTAGGTTTCTCGTCTGTAGCGGTAGATCCATGGGGAATCTCTCCTTTGGTCTAGACGATCTGATTGATTCTCAGTCAAAACACCACATTTGTAACCCCCAGTGATCTGTCAATAGAGGATTGTTACAGCAATAATCCTGAACATGTTTCAATAGCTCTTCTAGATAGAGATGAAGTAGGAAGAATGTTTTGAGGATCTACTGTCAAAAAAAAAATCAATGCCAATCCTACGGATTACAAAGCATGGCACTTGTTGTGTACATGCTTCTCAAGGGTCAGAGGCAACTTGACAGCAGCTAACTAAAAAAAGGAATCACTACGCCTTTTAATGGTTAATGCCTATGCATAGAATTTACATACAAGCATTGACTCAGGGTCTTCATTACAATATCAAAATATTTTGTGCAGAAGGGCAAGAGGGGGTGAATTGAGCTTTATAATGAATTCTGAGAATCGCTGTATGACCTAGAAGAAACTTGAATGACTTGAAATGTTTTCTTTTTCTAAAACTTACATTCTAATAGACACTTTAATAAGTTTATATAAGAAGCCCTGGAGGTCACAGTGGTTAAGTACTAGGCTGCCAGGTGAATGATTGGTGGTGCAAATCCATCAACTGCATTGTCAAAGAAAGATCTGGAAGTCTGCTTCTCTAAAGAGTATAGCCTTGAAAACCCTGTGTGGCAGTTCTACTCTGTCCTATGGGATCATATGGGTCAGAGTCAGCTCAGGGGAAATGTTCTTTTGTTGTTGTTTTATTCAACTACATGAAATACGTGTGTATTGATATGTGAAACACTACATTACTTCAAATATTAAATTGGAGATTCTTTAGTGAGGAAATCATATAAAATATGTTCCAGTTATATCTGGCATCTCAGTATTTTATTCTGGTTATAATTTTAGAAAAATATATTTCTCCAACTTTTGACTCTTAGTTTTACTTTCATTGTAATTCAGGGTAAATTAGAAGTCCAAAAATATCATTGGTTTTAGTCTTATGTAACAAAACTGTGACAGAAATAAAATTGCAGTTTTCAATGTGAGAATCTGAAATTTCCAAGTAGCATTTCTAGAATTAAGGTTTTGAATAAGAATACACTGATTTTCATAGAATGACATTAATATTTCAAAATCAGTATCTCAAAAAATCTTCTAATAGTGTTATACAAAGCAAATTAAACATATTTCTTGACAATCCAGCAGAGGGGGGAAAATGAAACTCTGTGTGATAACACCAGTTATAGTAAGCAGAAGCTACAAGTGTAAGTCACAATTATTTCTGATGGGAAAAAAGGTGAAGTTAATTATTACTTAGTTTACACAATAAGTTTCAAATCGGGATTAAGTAGGTAAACACAGGGATTGCTATCATAAAATCTGTCCTCTTGAGAAACCAATAAGCCAAGTTCTAGAATTCTATTTTGTTTTATGTTAAATAAACAACGAGAATGTTTGGCATCTGAAGATAAATAGACAAACCTTGCTGAATGTCTGAGTTCAACCAGAGGTTTCTAATTCCCTTGAGCTGTTCACTATCCTACCATACCGTTTTGTGGGATAACATAGTAGGGGAGCATGGTATTAACACTTACTTACTATCTTTAATTTTAATTTTAGGCTATATTGAAATATTAAGACAGTATTAATTATTTCTGGTCCAAATTCTATCCTTGTCCCCCAAAGGCTCCCCTTTCTTCCCAAATCACAATCTACCTCAATTTCTTAAACTCTTAGGTCTCTAAGTACTTTTATTGACTATATCGTGAACTGAATAAGGTATTTCTAATATATGCCTTTTTATTCCATGAGCCTAATGTAGGCAGGCTCTCAATTTTTAATTCTGTTTTCTTACACATTTTTGAACAGGTGTTTAAGTACTGCAATTCGTCTTGTTTTCTTTATGTGCTAAGATTGATCTGTGGTAGAGTTTTGCCAAGTACAGTCAGGCTGTAATGGGGATTGGATGTTTCCAGGTAGCCTTTCTTTTCAGCATTTAACCCACTTACCACATAGTTCTTAAAATCATCATCTCCTGACCACTTAGGTAAATTATGTTCTCCGAAAAAGAACTCCCACAACACCAAAGAAAGATACCAATAGACACATGAAGTGTATGCCTGGTCTCCAAAGTCAACATAGTAAATTTCATGGTGGGACAAAAATGCCAATGCAGAAAACGAGGTTCATACAAAATATGGATGAATGAAGGGGGAGGGGCAGAGACTGGAATGAACCAAAGAAGGAGAGAAGTGACAGTGAGAAAATGGCTGGGCAGGAAGAGGACTCTGGGGACGGGACGCAGAAAGACACACGTAACAGATGCACAAACAGCATTATTGAGAGCAGTGTGACTCCCAATTGCAACACAGGGTTTTTCATTTTTTTCTACTTCTTCATTTGCCTCCAAATCTACCAGTAGGTGTCATTACAAGTCATGGGCAAGGGTTGTTGTAGGTCTTTAAAATCTGGGACAAGTGAGCAAATATAGAGCTTTCTTTCACAACTTGCCCCCAAAAGTCACCACTGAACTTCAAACTCTTTAAAAAAGAGACCATAAGAATAGAAATTTCTGCCAGGCTGACTTTCATGTCATTGTGGAGTATGTTCCTCCTGGAGTGAGCAGGAGTGACTTTGGCAGAGAAGGTAGAAAGGCTCTGAGGGCAAGGAAGTTGTAGGCATCCTGGTCTACCTTCACCCCTTGCTGCTGGAAGCACTTTCTAGAAGCACCATACAAACTGAGTACAATTCCAACTGAATACAAATGCCACCATATCCGTTTTGGAAAGAAATTGTTAAGAAAAAATTTTAGACAGAGTTGAGCACTTACCTCTTTTCTTATGTTCAAATAAATGGCTTTAAATATGATACAAGTTTCATAACTTAGGCAATGAATCACAGGAAACTCAGCTGAAATCAGGAAGTAGACACCATCAATGCGCCTCCAGGAGGTGATGGAGGGGGGCGGTTATGGAGAGAGGAGACTCTGGGTCTGCAAACTTTACCTGGTTTCCCGCAGAAGTAGCTGCTGAGACAAAGGATTGATCACACTGTGTAGTGCAGGGGAGTTGGGGGGAAGATAAAATTGTTTGAGTCTGGTTCTTGACAAATTTCTTTATGGAGCAACAATTGCAGTACACTGAGAAAGAGACTCTTCTAAGACCAATTCCCTTCCAAAGGTTGTTTACGAAGGACAGGAGTGATGTTTCCCTTTACAAATATTGTACTGTGTTCAATATTCATGCTAATTCATAGACTAGTTTATAAATGTCCACGGCAGGCTTTCAGCCTTGGGAGCTGTAAAGATGCCAAGATTCTCAAAAAAAATCCCAAAGGATGGTCCAATGAGCTACCCAGATAGCTCGTCCAAGGACAAAAGCAAACCTGGGGCCAATTAGTTAAACTCCAGCTCACACTGAGCGCTTGTGAGAAAACGTCAATCTCTTCTCAAGAAGATGTCTTAAACCAATTTTTCCTAGAAGTATGAACATTTCCAAGCCAATTAAATCTGTGCGGTAGATAGGAATTCTGATCACTTCTTTGTACTGTGTGGACTTCGTTGAGGACGTTTCTTAACCTCTTTAGTTTTCAATTTCCTGGGGTTTTTTAAGTCATTTTATTAGGGGCTCATACAACTCTTACCACAATCCATACATACATCAATTGTGTAAAGCACATTTGTACATTCA